CTATAAAATGATGCCTTCTCGCAAACCTTTAACTTGGTTGATTTACACTTGGTTTTTGACCAGACTGAAGTTCATCTATAAGCGCAACAAACTGACAACTGTCATCGTGCAAAGCACTATTCCTGAATGTGCTCCTTCCGCCCAAATAAACGAACCACGTTTACATCAGATTGGTCCAATCAATCACATTTACCATCTCTTTTCGGCTTCATTCAATCGCAGCCCAATTTCGGTCTTCTGTTCGATATCGATGGTGTTCTCGGACGTGGAGCGACACCGTTTCCCCAAGCTCAGGAAGCATTCCGTTTGTTGTGTGATCCGGATGGGAAAGCATTGCGTGTCCCAGTCGCGTTTGTGACCAATGCGTGCGGAGATGCAGCCGCGAAAGCCAGGATAATTTCCAAATGGTTTAATGTGCCGGTGAGTTTTTACGTTATCCACGGACGTGTTCGTGCGCTCGATTGTCAAGGTTCACACACTACTCACGCCCCAATCCGTATACATATGGGGAAAATACAGCATGCGCAATTGGAAAGTTGTAGTGAGTAAACTGAAGTAATAGAATATTTGGTTGGCCGAGTTGTAGTGTACCAACTAACTGGAAAACACCATAAACAACTGGTCAAACGTATGTTATTATATACGGATTATAGTGTAAATCCGGATTCAAATTAGCCCCTGTTAAATCTCTGATAAACTTGTATGTATTCGTTTTACTGTCCCCTCACTAAAAAAATGAAGCACTCTACAGAAAAGAAAATGTCCTTTAGTCATTAATTAGCATTCTTCTTAACTAATAATTAGGTAACCTTAAAACTATCAGTTGGCTAAAACAGAAAACGTAAAATGATTTTTATTATGGAGTGTAGTAAGCACCGAGTTAGATCTAATGGGTAAACTTTTTCAGTTCCTTCCTTTCAGTTTTGGCTTATAGCCCTCACAGTTTAGCCTAACTCGTGACTGGATCTGACACTGTTAAATTTGCTGACGACTGACAATGATAAATAATCCGAATAATCTGTTTTGGGTATGGAAGAATAGAGGAAATGATGTTTGCTCGCCCAAGGATCAACTTTTAACCCCGTGCAAGTAACAATCTGGTGCCAGATAGAAGCGCTTCAGTTAAAGCCACTGCATGAATTGGTTTCAAATAATGTGAAATGAATTTGAAAACGGTGAAGGTCACGTTTGGCTCCGAATAACCTATTGTTTTTCATCGACAAATGATAAATAGATAAACTCGGGAGGAGTAATCACTCCAGAAGAAGTTAGTTCTTAAAGTGGTTATGCAAGATGTCTTCATAATGTCGTATATATATATATATATATATATATATATATATATATCACACGTCCCTATTCAGACAATGTAGCAAACAAATCACGGTGCAATAATTTTTATGAGAAGAAAAAGCTCTATGATCTGCTTGAGGGCACGATACTGTTAGGTTGGTCAGACCAAAGCTGATGAATTTTCTCGGGGAATGCACAACTGGAGCCTTTGACTAGCTAAAGTCCGACCGCAAGGCAGTTGTGTACTGAAAATTTAATTATGCGTGACCTCAAATGAATGACTGAATAACCGATTGTCTAGGCAATAAGCGTTTCCAATCATCGAAACATCCATGTTCCCGATTAAGATTTCGCCGATGTGCAACAAAGTCTTAAAATAAATCTAAATTATCTGTTCACATGGTACTATACCTTGTCAAACTTGGCATCCAAGTGCGATGTAAATTAATGCGCTATTCCGAGAAGGTGGGGGGGGGGAGAGTGCATAATATTAGTACTTATTGGGATATTTCATGTTGATACACAAATTAATTTGGTTGAGATCATTTTATGTTCATTTTTAGTTGTTCTCTATTAAACAGCTAGCTCTGTATTTCAATAAATGTGAAAATGTTTTGTCGTAGGCGTACATAACTCCATCAGGCTGATACTTTCTTTCTTATCTCTTATCCTCACTGTGTACGGTAATAAGTCACGCTTAACGGCATTCCACCGCAATCTGAGCTGAAGATTAAAACCCAGTAAATGGCGGAAAATGTTTTGCGAAATAACCTAGAACCAAACGAATGACGATGTCATAAATCTGGCAATATTTTACTGCTATCTCCTTCCGTCTCTCCACAGACATGTTTTATGTGCGAGGGGTAAAACACGTTCTCAATCGATTTAAAATCTGACTGGCACGTGGGCTACACGCGGTGACAAGTTTACACATTCATTCAGTCGCGAAAACCGGGCTGAACGTCATTCACACATGACAGTGTGCGTCCGCTGTCCGCTCGGTTGACACGTGCTAACGTCGCATCCAGTTTTCGAAGCATACACGAATAATGCGTTTTGCAGTTTGGGGTGACCCTATGCGTGATGCTATTGCCAACGCCCAAGCTGGTTTTCTAACAGACTATAGAACAATCGTAAATGAAAACTAAAGGGCTATTATGTAAAACACTGGACGGGAGCCGTTATAGCGTCAATTTAATTACCTAGTTTCGGTGTGTATTGTCTGGTCAAGATGAAACACTTATTGTCTGTTCTAATGGCAACCATGGCGTATTTTTCAATGCACCATTTACTCCTGTAGCACTGTGAATAACCGCACAAAATTTATTTCTCAATAAATAGGATGGAAGTTTGAACTGCTGTCTTGAGAAACATCCTCATTAGGAAGAGTCTGTTGTTTATAAAAACAGGGAAATAAGTTATCATTCAATTTTCAATTTTCGCTCACGGAGCGCTTGAAAACCAGAAAGTTTGGAGTGCAGTTTACAACACCAACCACAACTTATTTTACTTTTCTGCACACATTTGGAATCAGTAAATGTTGCACCATTATTAAGCTCGTTTACAACCAGGTAATAACTCAGAGGTAATCAGTAGTATTAATGAAATTCGAACATCACTTACTAGCATTCTACAGAGTTGTCCATCATCACCTAGTGGCTTTTGCCCAAGCATTTGCTGATCATCATCGGTCTGGCTGTTCGAGGACTATTCGCTATCACAAAATTGACTCATTCACGTCGTTTTTACCTTATTTCTCTATGATTGTTTGATCTGTAACACAAAGGTTATTTTGTATTAGTATTCCTAATATCGTAATGCTATTTATTACGGCAGTAAATGAATGGAAACCTTCACCTTTTATAGATTGATCCAGATCAAGTGATTCAGGCACCCAGTCCACTGACGGTTTACAAAGAATATCACAAGAAACGTGTCCTATTCATTGGTCAAGATAATACACTAGAGATTGCTCACAGGTGAGTCAGTTAACGGGCTATCTGCTCCTCGTTTTGTTGAGTATAAGCAGCCAACTCGGTCTATCAGATTTGCGGAGAATAGTTCATTGTAACACCTGACTGCTTTTGTGCTGCCTCGGGAATTTTATTTAAAGGAAAAGGTCCAACTATTGGTTTAAGTGGAACTCAGTGATATGGTCATTTTTGTAGAATACAAACAGATAGCTGAGTGTGAGATTTGCTCTGAACAGAATAATCGGATATGTTCATTGAAGTCGACGATCCGTAAGTGCATGAATCAATTTTGTCATGATTACCCCAGGTCCGGCATGAATGCGAGAGTCACTTTGAATTTGAATCTAACGTTCCGAAATTGTGTCGGAATCAGAACCATAGTTAGTAACATAGCGTAGAAATTCAGGAATTCGAGGGTCAAACTTTTAAAGTTCAGACTCATTGTGGAAAACCAATGAGCCCAGTCAATGATCATTTTAATTTCCCCAATTTAAGATGGTTTTGCATGTCCAACAGAGTTTGTGGAATTCAAGTAAGCCTCATCTGAGAGCATATATTTGCATCAAAGCAACAGACCTCCCATTAGCTCAGATTTGCCTTACATTTCGGAGTTTGCTATCTAGCTGCGTGTGGTGAAAAATGCATCAAACTGTTTTCATGACCGATTACGTTGTCTGAGGAAATCATTCCGATAAAAAAGGCTACAAGCGACAAACTGACTTCAAGATGGTCACTGCCCACCAACTTTATCAGGACATTCCAGTTCACAAATTTTCTAGCGCGAATTATCTGCACGATGAAAAACTTCTAGCCTATCTTGAATCAATTTCTGCCCAAAGTTAATTAGTCCTAAAACCAGAAAAAATTATTCACAAAATGGTCACGGAAATAAGTAAACTGATTATCCTTTTGTGTAGAATCACGGAAGCTGATTCAATCAAACAAAGGTCATTTGCATCAAGTTGCTATGATGAATTGACCAAATTTCGAAGGGGGTAGTCACATGTCAACCCAATATGTTTCTTTTATGCAGAGGTTCAGGACGTTTGGGGTATAAAAAGCTCTTGTGTTAAATATTTACTTTTTTGCCTTTGGTTCTGGTTGTATTGCTTCGATTTGGATGAGTTCGAAGTAAATGCTCATGGGACCCTAGATTATGCACCAACTACGTAAGCTAATACTCGCACACATACATACACACACACGTTTTGGGACCTCCGTTGACGGTGATCCGAATTCGACGAAACGGTAAATGAGAGACCTGATCAAGAACGAGTGTGTTTTGATGATAATTGCTGAGATAATTTGTTCGCCTCCTCCCCCGTTCCTATCACAATCGTGTTGAATGTGCATCGGGGCGTGAGTTACAGATACACACACACAGAGCAAGTGACAACATGTGCACATACACACACACACACTCAGAGACGTGCTAAATATGGTATTACCGTCGTCACATCGGTCTGTATGATTAATCACTACTTTGCTAATTGTCAATAGTCCAAATAACCGAAATGATGTTCTCAGGCGGTGGCTTTTGAAAAAATGCACGGGTCTTGGAACAATCAAATAGCAATTCATTATGAGAAACGTCGTCACCGATGACGGTGTTATACCTGCACACACGTACACCAGGGATTGATTCTCACATTATAATCACTGAATGACTAAGTGAATATTGTTCATGGTTTATTCAATCGTGAATTAGTGATGGGTCAAGGAATCGAAGCTACATTTTGATTGAATAATATTGTTTGTGTGGGCTGAAGCGCGTGCGTGCGCATGCGAGAGAGAGAATGGGTTTAGCAAGTACTGACTAAAATATATCTTGGAACTTCTCTGTTGATTAAAGTTCATACATTTTACAGATCATTTGTTAAATCGTACCGCGCTGGAATATTGTAAAATTAGAGTGATTTATTTCAGTCCCTTTTGGCTCATCATTAGATTTTTTTAGAAGATGAATTTTTCTAACAGGCAATCCTTTCAATTTATGGATAGTGATAGCATGAAAATTATGATGAAAATTCTTATAGTTCTTTATTTATCATTACAAAATTTTAGAAGAAAATGCGTCCAGTACTCAACTTATTTAAACGTCCAGTAATCTGAGACAGAAATGGAGTCCAACTTGCTGGGGTTAAAAACACATGACCTAAGTTGAGAATCATTTATTGCCCGGGTGGAAAGAATGTAGCCTCTCCACATCAGAGTGAGCAATTCACTGAAAATCGACTGGTCGACCACGTACCGTGTGTTTTCTTATTAATAAACGGAATATTTTTAAACGTGTTTTTTTACTCAGAAGATGTGCAAATTAGCAGTTTGTTGCAGAAAACCGTGTTCTTGGGACGTGGCTCTGGTACGGATATTTGGAATCCCCTGTGCATTGCGAACGCATTCCACAGCAATCGCCGCAAAACAAACGGGTTGCAATCCGCTGTTTATAGTCCCTTCAACGTGTGGTCTATACAGTACATTTAGATGACCAGGTTACTTTGCAATCCTTAACTGGGCTGAAAACTCTTCTCTTAAAACGTGTGGATGTCTGCTGTGTGTATGCTTGCGTTAGAGTAACAAACTGTCATCGCAACGAATTTTAACAAAATACACAATACAAATATATTCTCTCGTCTCTTAGGCAGTACATCACTGTGGGTGTTCCCTGAACTGAAGAAATCACATTCCGGCAACCGAATCATCTATGAACGATGGGGCAATCAAATCCAATTGAGGAATATCTCATTTCGATCCAAATAAGCTTGAATTCAGTTATCATACAGGACTAAAATTAGTTATTGTCGTGAAAATAAATAGTGTGCTTGCAGATCGAGACCTGAGTAACACATTTACAGTGTCTTTCAGGTCTTGATCAAAAACATATTCGGACAATGAATGCGACTTGGCACATGTACAGCTGGAAATCTTCCCAGTGCAATACGTGTAAAAATAGCCGATATTGGGATGCCGAACTGCATTTTTAACCAGTAAACAACTGGCTTAAAGTACCGTTTTTAACTAGAAAGATGTGCTATTGATCTTTGGCTGAAGCTGTTACTTCAACCTCCGTTTTCGTTGCGTCACCTCTAAAGAGTGAAACGTTTTGCCTCTTATGCGAAGCAAAAATAGTTTGATTTACAGACGGAAAAGTGAATAAGATAAATGATTCAAATTATGCAAAATAGTTGAACCAACTGAGTTGTAGAAACAGTCGAGGCCAGTTAATAGGATTGCATGAAAGCCATAAATAAAACGTAACTGCGGGGTGGGTACCAACCAGATGAGATCATTAGGAACTGCAGATACCATATGATACATAAGGCTAGCACATTAAATTTTACGTTATACATATTTTACTCGCATCTGCCATTCTGTAGTAATACTTGACCTATTTATTCATTGCTAGTGAAAAACCTACCAAATATTAGGAGATCGTGCACGTGATTACAATCCATTCAGCGAAACCGCCATTTAATTTCATGATTTTAAGATCTAGTGATGAATCTCCTCAACTTGCTTCTGATAAGCTATTTATTGTGTGCCCGAACCCCCAATTTAGGTGACCATTCCTCCTGATCAACTTAAAACAGCTGCTCGAGCAATATACTCAATGTCCAATGCTTATGGTCAGTAGTTTGTCAAATGAATCAGGCTTCCTTGTGTCTATCTGATCCAGAGAGAAGAGACACATTCATAGGTGGAACGATGTGGTTCGTTAATTGTTCTGAAATCTGATCAGTGGGAAAGGGAAGCTTTATGATTTGTGTCAAAGCAAAACTTTCTGTAGTTGATTTTGATCCACGTTACATAAAATTCCATTTCGAAGGCGACACTTTCCCCCAATCACAAAACTACAAATCAGCCAGCGCTCCGTGGGTTTGAATATGCGGTTTGTGACAGAGAACAAGATTTGCATTCTTGCTGTGCACACCGACCTCTATACATTGAAATGTTTACAATGAAAAATCCTTCTTGACACTTGAAAGCATCGCTGGAAACCCAAAGTTTATTTTCAGCCTTTATCGAAAGTTTGTTTGCTATCATCTGATTGCATGTGTCGGCAGGTAGGAGTTTGAGGCAATTTTGTTTAGATCAGAGTGAATGGAATGAAAAGCTCTTATTGTGTATTCTTTATTCCAGTCAACTCTTCCCTGTGGCAAATAGTGTTAAGCATAGTTCGTCAGGTGTGTGTGCGAGTAAGGAGACCCGTTTGTGTTGATGCTACACCGCACTGATGTCGGATAGCACGTGAGTGTGTATCACGTGATTTTGTTTCGATATGGAGATAAACAACTACAACTGAAAACTCATCATGACTGAATGTCATAGCGCCACGCATTGATAGCTTTTTTGGCTCATCAGTTTCAGGGTTTCCTGTGTAGCAGAAGACTTTAACTCTAGTTACCACGATCTTCAACTGCAGTGAATGCACTGAATGTTATGGATCCACAAGGCGGCGCTCGGTTGAAGGAAGTTGGTTATTGCAGATTGCAGTTAGGATATCATTAATTTAGCATACAAATAACAGAAATCTCATTTGAAACATATCGCAGTTCCTGGCAGCACACCGGGTAATGCGTGAAGCAGTCAGTAGTTATTATTTGAGATACAGCACTTTGCCCTCGGTGCTCTTGTTATTTTTTGATCGTTGAAAGAAACCACCAAGTATTTTGCATACTGCTCAAACTGTGAATAGTGTCTCACGACACTGAGTACTTGCTACCCAGTTGACCGTGTGTGGATAGGAAAGAAGATCTTGAGTACCAAGCTAACTAAATTATCAGAAGGAACGAAAAGACAAAGTCGCATGTTTATAGAATATGGGTCAAACAAGTCATTCATAGTTGTCGGTACTGAGTTATTGAGCAACGATGCTTTATACACTCGCGTTCCTGTTACATACATCCGCACCCAGTCTGGAACAACGCAAAGTGGAGCATGTGCAGAAACAGAGGCCACGACAGTTTTATCGTTTTTTCACGCACACTAGATGATCCTAAAGTGTTTCGAGATCATTTTAAGCCAAACTACCAATAAACCCCGAAAATAATTGACTATTTGGTTGAGTACTTTGAATAAACCCCATTCATATCAGACAGCCCCATGTCAATATATCCAGTAAGTGACATAGAACAGTAAACCTGTTCCATTCTGACAATCCAAGTTCCTCGGCTCGTCGGTCCAACTTCCTACAGTTGCCTAGTCTACACGCATATGCCGATCATGATATAAATGCCGCTTTTTTTAGTAATAACCGATCGCGCCCATTTGATCATGATTATTAGATAATCAGCTTTATAGAGTGATAGTGAATTGGACAGATAATTAGAATAGTTTTAAATGTGCTGTTGGCGGGATCAGAAAACAGTGCATTTCGGTATGATTTATTCACATGTTCATGTTTCAGCCTAGGATTCACAAATGCAGTCACCCTGGAGGATGTCAAAGCTGCATATCCGTTGCTCGATATGGTCGATCATGAAAACCGACGGCGTCTAGTAAGTATTGAATACTCCGGTCTGATGTGATGTACGCCTCATGTGAATGGGCAGAAACTGGGTGACAGTTTAATGTGTGCGTTTGGTTTCGCCCATGTTACTCTAGACAGTCGAATAAAGAAATCGGATTTTGGCTAGAGTTTTGTTTATCCCCAATCGTGAAAAACCCTGGTCCTAGAGGTAGGAAAACGTCTCACAGTGTTTACTCTGTGGCCGTTACACGGCTCCAAGTCTAATATGACGTGGTTTCTTTGCTCTGTCTGCTAGATGAATCTGTTTCGGACATCTGGACAACGTTCATTTGACATTGTTTTGAGCAGAATAGCATTTGGATGATAATAATTATTAATAACTGATAAGCAAGCGATCCCACTGACGCACAGCCGAATCAGTTGTTGATTGTTTTTTTGTTTAGGTTTACTGATAATCAGCTGATACCGGCGGCTGATTTTCGCAACACTATCTCTGCCTTCAGTTTAGAGCATCAGTCGTTCAAACCAGACATGGTTTTCCACCTGTAGTTCATCATTTAGCGATTCGATTAGCTCTGTATCAAAAACGGTGTGCATTTAAGCGTTATGAGAAGAGACTGACGTTTGCCGGTCAAATAGTTTGTGGCATTTTTACAGGAAAATTGGCTTGTGGAGAATTTGGTAACAAATGAGATTTTTGGTAATCGAGATACAAAAGGAAACATGAGTCAGACACATGCTGCAAATTATTTTGCAGATTCGCGACCACATTAACCAGTATAAATTGTTTTCATCAATATTGTTCCAGTAACGTTAAAAGCAATGTGAACTACGCTTCAAAAGGATCGAAGCTTGCAGAGGTGGTCAATATGAAGTAGCTTTCTTTCAGCATCAGTAACTAAGTGTTTTTCTACTAAGAAATTTTGCATTTAGTATCATTTTCGTTCAGTGACTTGATTTGTATCAACGATCGGTTACTCATCTGAGTTCAAACTCAGATCTAAACGATTTTCGGATGGAAAACGTCGTTAGCATTTTGTGCGCTAATGTATCTCCCTCAGCCTCACCACTTCACACATTACAGTTAGCATCCAACCGAAAACTTTTCGGAACGTGCATGAATAATAGAAATTTACCGCTTAGGTGTAGACCTATGAAACGAGATCGATATTCTCTCGGATGTTGGAAAAACGGATATATTTACACTCATAAGTAGACAAACTTTCCCCGAGGAATGAAACAGTTTTATTATCATCTCTGATAGTGACTCGAATAATCTGATGGATTGGCAATACAATGATATATTAGGATGAGAGAAAAACTGTACGAGAAATCACTCCTTTGTAGCTCGTCTCATAAAATATTGATTAATGTGACCTGCCTGCGATCGCAGTGTAAATAAGCCCAATCACTACTGTAGCGCTTTTCTAAACACTCCAGTTTCTTATTGTGATGATCCACATGGTCAGATAAACATCCCACCGTTTCCGGTGGTCAATAAGCTAAAAAAATAGAGACAAGAATGGTACAGAGAAAAACATTGATCTATTTAGCCCTCAGTACACACCTTACTGGCCCATTATATCCCAGATACAGTAGTTCAGGCTATCGCAAACACAGTTGTGGTGTAATATACGTTGCATAATTGTATGACTTAAATGGGAATTCCTTATATGTGTAATCTCAAACATTCGCGCTATCCGGGTATCACGTTTCTTCTCGGAAGATCCAGGGACTTCATACAAAAAAGATGCATAAAGAAGACAGATGTTACACGCTATGGACAATTACTGAAACACTACTTGTTGCCAGCTCCCGTATTCAGACCGAATGTAAGTGCATTAACCTAGGATAGAATTCCAGTGAACTTTATTAAACCAATATGAGTAGTTGCATGAAGTAAAGCTTACACTGAGCGCCGGGGAGAATTACATGATCTCTTCCTGAGGTTATTTAGAAAATTAGTGGAAACGACCGATGTCAAAATAAAAGTGTAGACGTGGCGTTTAATGAACTTCACTTTCAAAAAATGGGATTTCTCCTAAAGTTCACTAGGATAGCTTCACAAGAATATCAATTAGACAGATGATTGATGAGACTGCAACATATCCACAAGAAATGTTGAGTTTTCTTGGTGTTCCTCTCCGGATCGTTATCAAAGCAATTCGTCTTTCTTGATCGATGTTCAACAAGCGAGCGGTTCAGGGGAACAAAATTTTACGAGCTCTGTTCTCATTAATATAAGAGGGGACGTTCACTAGTGAGAAGGGTAAACATCCAGGCAAAGTTTTACGGTATTTTGTGCCCCCTCTAGGAAATTTTCCTTTTACTGGGCAAAGTAACCGAGTGGATCAAATTCCATCTGACATTTACGCCCTTTTGTTTGCTGTTCCATCGTGACTCACTGGCAAAGAAACTTCTTTATTTACCCATTACCTCCACTCATTTTTGTGAAGGCAAGATACGTACCGGAACCAAGGCCTCTCGAAACAATTGAAAGTAAGTATGATCTGTGTTCGTTTGTATGCACTGTTTGGTCTGGCCAACCCTACTGTAGGATGTACACACAATACGATTTAATTTGCACAGGAAAGCATTTTTCTTTTGTGCCCTGAGTCCTCGTTTCGAAAAGTGGATCGAAGATGACAATGATGCTTCGTGAATCGTGTTTGCAGCAAAGCTGAACAAATATTCAGATGACTGCACCATAAAACGATCACTTTGCTGGATAACAGCGTGTGGAATCTTGCTAACCAAGATGATTTAATTCGAACTGCCATCCTTGCCTGAATGTCTATTGCAAATAGTTAGCAAAAAATCTTCTAGTTTATGGCAATAGAGGTTCTGAAATTGATTTTTAATTACGATGATTTTAGCCTTTGTTTATCTAAGTATGTTAATTTCTGAGGAATTGTGCATTTCGTCAACTTTGAATGCTACTGCCTGACCGGTAACAGCCATGTGCTTAAGGTAGTAAGGTATGATGCCGGAAGTTGATTAGGATTGGGTTTGTTGTGACATTTTGATAAGCTCTATAGTATGCGAGTACCAATCGGCGTGAATTTGGTAATAACGGACAACTGAACATTCCTTGGAAGAATATAAAACCGGTTCGTGGTATATGGGATCGAGCACTTCCAGTTAGACACCAAACGAGGATAATATTTCATCGCGAATAACTCACAAATTCTCCTTTGTGACCAATTCCTACCATGTTTCATAGTTGAATTAATAAAAACACTTATGTGTGTCATTCTGTGACACGCCTAATGTACTTACACAGGTTGTTAAATATAACAACATACCTTACACCAATCCCTGCGGAAAACGGCTACGAAAGATGGCGAAGGAAAATTGTCATCTTTTTATACTTCAACGTTTATCCCGAGCTTAGCCAACGTCGGTGAAAAATATCATACCACACCATACCATAAGAAGACCAAATCAAACTGTACTAATCCGGAGCGTGGGACATCATATGATCAGATAGAAGCTGATGTGAACCGTTGTTCACAACAGACTGGATCATTGACGCTGACAATGTTCCAATCCAGTTCACGTAAGAAATGGGCCCCAGGCTGGCTTAATTCAGTTTATTTTCTTGCTTATATAATCTGTTGATCTATCTGTTTCAACTATAATCGTGTCGTAACTGTGGCATAGACAGCAACTCTGTCCGTGCGATTGTATGACTCAGACGGAAACCGGTAGCTGGAATTTTGCGAGTTGATAGTTACCCAATCGACTTTGTTTAGAGATGCTGTAATATGTTTAATATCCCAACAGACAGGGCAAGAAATAACAGGAACAGGTAGTAGCCTTGGAATTACCTTTTATTCAAGCACATGAATTTGTTGAGTTATTTACTATAACACTGCAAATCAGCCAAAATACTCATAAATAATTGACAGGTTTTGTTCACTTTTATGATTAATCAGTCAGTATGAGAAAACATAAAAATGATCAGATTTTACCACGGAGATCAAAACATGATTCCAATGATCGCCTTTTTCAGCTCAGACGTCTTAGTTGAATTTCGCGCACTCACACGCTTTAACCGTGTGGCAAGCAATCAAACGAACGCACAATACAGCTTTGTTTCAAACAAACTGATTTGATAGAGAGAGATAGAAAAACGTGCGATTAACTCATGAAAGCCACGTCAATCCGAGCGCAAATGCAGTTCACTTGTTCCCGCGAAAGCGCTGGTGTTTGACTGATCCGCATCTGAAAATTCTTCTCCGTAGCGTGCTTCACTCATCATGCGTGACGGAAACGATTTGACTGAAATCAATGAATGCAGGGTTCGTAAATTTTTTGTATTTCATTACGCTTGGTTAATCAATTGCCAAAAAGAGAAATGCAGATTGATTATCGGTGCTATTTTTCAATGAAACATCACTTCACTTGACTGTCAGAAAAAATCCGCCCCTCATCACTGTCAACATTAGCAGTCAGTGGTAACGAATAAGATGCGACAGGCTTGTGGGAGGACATTCAAGCAGGCAGGCAGGCAAGCAGGCAGGCAGATGGACAGACGGACAGACAGAAAGACAGACTGACAGGCCTATAGGCGGGAAAGCAGGCAACCGAGTGGACGGTTGGGCGGGTGGACAAGAAAGCAACGAGCAAAATGATCGAAGAAACAATTCGAAAAGATAAACTTCCAAACCACGCCAAATAACTGCAACTGTATGTGCGGCATGCATGCCGTCTGGTTGCACGCAATTAGCCGAATGCGTGCATTTTTTTCTCTCTTCCTTTCTGGCGCTATGGTGCATGTGTTTTTTGGAAATGTTGTTCGACGCTGAACACCAAAACAACTCTTTTGTAACTGGCATTGTTAAATGAGTTGTTTACTGATAACGCCGCTGCTTGCTTATTATCACAATTGAATGAAACACCTAAACCTTACTGGTTTTGGGATGCTTGAACCGGGAATAGTAAGTATTGGGCTGTAGGATCTGATCGACCAGATTTCCTTGACAACGTACATCTATAGCTATTCCGCTGTTTCTGTACTGTGTACTGTACACCGGAAATCCTTATCATCGATGTCCTACTGTGTGTGTATGTAAGCTTCAACAGTAACAAGTCATTTGTTCCGAGCACATATGAGTATTGCAAAATGAATTACACTGTCGGATAAATAGCTCTTTTATTCGTCGATTGTTCGCCCCGATAAATATCCGTTGTATGTGTTCTTCCGTGCATCTTTGTCTCCACACAGTGATCATCATGCTTGGCGAGCCCAGGCGATGGGAGTCGCATTTGCAACTTTTGATTGACCTTCTCATGACCAACGGCAAACCGGATCACATGCCCGCCTCGATGCCTGACGAGCATATTCCACTTGTCGCGTGTAATATGGATTTGGTCTATATGGACCAGGCCGTGTTGCCCCGATTTGGTCACGGTGCTTTCCTCACTTGTCTGCAAGCCCTGTACCGACAATTTACTGGACACAAATTGCACTACACCTCCCTGTTGGGCAAACCGAGCGAGATCACATTCCGATTTGCGGAACATATGTTGACCGTGATGTCCCGACGTATGGGCTATACCAGGTGCATTGATCGAATGTATTTCTTCGGGTAAGTAACACGAGGAAAAACAGAATCGCGATTATTGGCAAATACAGTTGCAGTTCTCCGGGAGCTGTAAATTGACACTATCCTTTAAGGAGTGAATAACTGTGCAAGAACCGATGAAGCAGTTATTATGCGGATGTTTTTATACGCAGCTCAGATAAACAGCATCTTCGAGGAAGTCTTCCCTAAAGTGCTTGGTTTTCAAAATTGATGATCAATTATTATTCATTGGAATAGCTTTAAATAGAGATAAACAGCAAAGGACGCCGCAACTTTTGCATCGTGAAGACTTGAATAATGCGGGCTTATGTGACTGCACAAAGATAATTAGATGACCAGGTATGCCTCTTTCTATATACTTGCATTGCATATATTGTGGTACACGCGCAGCTTTCTCACAGTGTGCGTATCAGGTTACAGCTGTTGCAGTACTGATAACTTCCAATATAGTATCAGGGTATACAGACCAGAGAAGAAAGAAAAAAAGTCTACTGTGAGGAATTTTTCAAATAAACTTCTTAGATGATTTCCGATGTTTGCTCTTAGTGCCATTGTTAACTTGATGTGAACAAATAATCCACAGAGACAGAGAGGAAGAGAGTTATTAGGGGGTATAATTATTCATTGTAGACGATATTAAAAGTGTTTACCTAAAGTCATTTATCACAATCAAACCTTTGGTTTGTATCTAGTTCCACATCCATTGTAAATTTCTAAACCCCTTTGGGCAATAAAGCCTCGCATCATGATGATAAAGCAATGGTTTAGGCACGTGATTTCGTATCATACTAGCGTTTATCGTTTCAGATGTTTCAACCTGTCACATCATTGTATTCTTGATAAATAAATGATTATATCATCCGAGCGAAAGACTAATGTTTTGTTTGACTTGCACTTAGCAGTCGTCAACCCCACTCCGAATGTCAATAATGTTGATTTTATAAGAGAAAGACAATCCTGTCCTCACATTTGCGAATAACGAATAAACCGCTAATTGAAACTGACGTCGTGTGGACCTGTTCCAGACCCGCGTGAATACACAAGCCACAGAAAATTAAAATACCCTTTCAGCATGTGTTGTTGCCGGTGAAGATAAAAAACATTAGCTGCCGGGTTCCATTGGAGACTTTTTCTGTGCAGTTGGTATTAAAGATGTGAAACAGAAAACAGCTAGCCACGTACAAAAGTCATATTTTTGCGGAATTTAACTATCAGAAATGATCAAATTCGAACATCACTTTCTTTCGAAATCGCAGTATAAGCACAAAGTGAAGGAAGACATAAGTATTCGAATTCAATGGAAGTAAAATACAAAATCGATATCCGAGCTGATCTGTGAACTAGGATTAAATAACGGTGATTGATATCCGTAGGCATGAAGGAGTAGCCCGGATCAGGCAAGACAAAACGCTTTTCATTTGCACATGATGCAAGGGGCCGCGAACAAAAAGGCATGAACGTATTTCCTCCTGCTAAGAAGCGTTTAGTGCATGGCATGTGAATCAGCCTGACTAAAAGAAAAGAGCTGAGCAAAATTGTCAATCCAATGTGCTTCACTGTGGTCAATTGAACACGGCATGACAAAAACGTGTCACTACAGCCAATTAGATCAACAGCATGGCTTGATTTTTTCTTTATATACCGTCATATGATCCGTTTATGTTGGCGATTCTATGTTACTATGTAGGTTGGTCGTTCATTGACTCATCAGTTTGCATGCATTAAATATCGACAAGCATAATTTGTTTTACAACTCTCACTGTTTCTATTTTATATGTGCCTAATGATGTACATTTCATATCCCACAAATGAAACGTGCAAAAGTTTGTAGTTGAGGATACGGTTAATATTTTGCACTTTTCTTCAAGATAACCGATTATAACACTACTTTTTAAGTTTGAGACAAGGACAAAACTATCAGCGCAGCGTTCAACGAGATCGCAGGGTCGAGAAATTATGTTGGTTCACTGTAACTTTTGCCGGAACGAAGCACCTTCTATCATTTACGGCATGTGAATTGCGATTCACCACATGGATCGATAAACTGATTGGAAGTAATCTAGCATTAAAAAGCAAAACTTTGCTTTTATTTTGCACATGTCCACCAAGTATTACCTCTCGTGAATTTCGGAGGTTTTTGGAAACGAGAAACTGAATCCAAATATGAAATGGAATATTCTGGGTAAAATGTATTGACAGCAGTTTTTCGTGATCTGTAGATGACACCAGGATTTGAGTAACGTTCTTAGCCAAATGGATGAGTTTCCCTTATGCATTTGAGCATAAGTATAAGCTGTGATGTAAAACATTCGCACAAGAATGAAATAACCGAACAAAAATAGTTTTGGGTACTTTCAGACCAAATTTCATTCAGTCTGGTTTTTTCGGCGAAAGGTTTCCGCAGTTGACAATACGGAATGGGGAAAATTAATGTGAATTTCACCCATGATAAAAACTTCATCCTCCTCATTGAGAAGAGGGCCCAAAAGACATGATTAAAAGAGCTGACTAATCTACATGAAGGTTTTCGAATCTGATCCAGAAGTCAACCACTGTAATTGTATCGCGAGTTCCTTTCACTTCATAGATTATCATTCTGCGATCAACAGAATGACTGAACTCGCTAATCACGAGTCTCCAGTATTTATTCATGACAATCGGCAAACAAAGCCCTTAGACTTGGTGAACTGAATCACCTTAGGCTCCACTAGAAAAGTGATGCTTAACCAAACCACACTGAAATTGTCTAGCATCAAAGCTAGATGACGATGGTACAGTTCGAGTGTCAAACTCTCTAGGAGCCACAATGATTCATGGCAATAAACTGGAATCGCTTTATCACCAGGAACTATTTAAACATCTCGGAGCAATTGATCTGTATGTTCCGAAGTCACGATTTCTTGCATTGGCAACAGTATTTACGGGATGGAATTCACCGGGGCCAAGTCCAGCATGAATACTCTCGTTAGTGGATACCGTCAGTAATAGGATGTCATAGCTAATCAGAAGAGTGATGAGGTATGGAGACAAACGAGGAGGCGCCAATCATTGTGATTGTTTGAAAAAAATGTTTCAGTACTTAAAAGCGTAATTTTACTGAATAGATTTCGGGGTCAATTGTCGCCAGTGCTATGAATGGACAGATTGATATGGTTTTATTGATTGAGCATTTATCTTTCACATCAGTTAAAAGCTAATATTCAAATGTGGGTTTTTGCGAAAAGCAAGTTGAAACACCACTTCGCTTGCTTAAGTTTGTATTTCTTTCCAAAGAAATATAGGAAACTGTTTGCTTTGCTTTATTATGTCGGAATTAAATCATTTTGTTAAAAATGTGAATCTTCTTGTCCCAACTCAGCGTGATTCGATTTATGTGTTTATGTTTCAGCTACGAAACAGCCATTTTCAAAGCAAACTTCAGTTAGGTGAACAATTTTTGGGTTGGCTGAAACTGATGAATAAGAGAGTTGACTGGTTGCAATTATGAGAACCGGTAGCGAAGTATTGGAACACTTAGAAGGGAAAACTACCGAAATTTTCGAGTCCTCCAGAGGTGGCATTTGGTTGGTCAGAAGCAAGACCGTCTATCATCAATAATGAATAGAAGTGGTCGAATAGGAATACGGAAGAAGAAATTCCAGAACACGTCGATGGCATGAGCAGAGACTGTTCAACCACCGCTGACCACAGGTAGCTGATTTTAGAAGAGCAAACAAATGTACCTGAATCAGTTCTCGGTAATTCGCATGTGCCCTTCAAGACGAAGGCTCAGAAGTAATCTTCACTTCTGCCGATCCAACCGGTCTATAAAACAGCCTGGCCCAATCACCATTGGTGATTCAAGGAATATCCCTATTGTGTTTTTCTGCTTTCTCCGGAGATTTATCAAGTCACAAAATGAGTTCATTCAAAACGATCTGGAAGGTCGAACAACTTCTCACGGACATAGGAAAAAATGTTGCACACATTTTTTTTCTGGCTAAGCTTGCCCATGATGGGTGCGATCCGTGTAATGAACTATAGTCATCGCAAAAGCACGATCTTCCTGACCATCCAGGCATCAAGATTAATTAAAAAGGGAAAAGATTTATCAAACAGAGAAGGTAATCGCCACACGGGGGTGCAAAGATGTTGAGCATTATTGCTCAGCAAAAAAGAGGAGGGTATGAATCCACATAAATGATCGACACACAAATGAGCCGTGATAATCGTAACACCAGATGATGCTTGTTCATCATTGTCACGTTCGTTTTGGACCAAATGCATAACCAGACCCTGACAAACATACCGGAACAAGGTCGCAGACCTCTCAAATCTGTTTTTAGTATTAGGTAATGAAACATCTTGTACTAAACGCTCACATGTTCTTACACGCACACCAAAAGCAGGAAGAAAATCGAACGTGACAATGATTTTTTTTAAAGCAATGATTTCATCATGTGTGATAGTCAATTCTGTTCCAGTCTGCAATTTTGTTGCATCACATGCGACTGAAATAGATAAGGTTTGAGAGTGTGAACTACTTACTTGATGATTGAAGATAGCTGCGGTCCACTGAGGAGCTAGTGCGTGTGTTACAAGTTGTGATTGACTTGTAATCTGTAAAAATCATTCAAAGGATTGTCAGCCTCATGATCACCATATTGATGGTGATAGTATTGAAACAGAAACTGATCCCTGGTCACAGACTACAAGTGTGCACGGAAACAAGCGAATTCCCACATCACAAAATGTGTGTACAGAACCACGTGACTGATTTGGATATTGCCACCTCAATACAATCTGTGTGTTCATTATTACAAATACGCGGTTCTGAAAGTCGAAAATCACCATATTTGGTTGAGAATGAAGACAGTCTTGTTGCAGTTTACATAAAGTAGAATACAAAAGGACTTTGTATCACTACGGTGATGCATATGATTTTCGGTTACGTGAGTAATCAACGCATGTTGGCGCATCCCGTGGGAGAGAAATTGCAGTGTACATCACAGCTTCAACGTGCCAGTTAATTTTAAAACTCATGTCCGACAGAAACTGTAAATATTTACTAAATCTTCCAATTCTCACATTGCAACAGTGGTTATATTAATCTTGCTTTTATTAGGCGATAAACATGTCATGTAACTAATTTCCCCCTTGATCATATGTGCTTGACTAATCAAGCTGAAATGACTGCTGCTTAAGACACTATGAACTGCTGATCAATATTTTCCTATCAGACTGGAGTAAATATGCCTACATGTCCCTCGTAATCCGGGAAATCGGACGCTTGGTTCAAAGCACAAAACTATGGTGATGAGGATCCCCTCTGCTCACCCGTTGCAATGGTGCCCCTGTTTGTTTGACCTGTCCTTTTATTCGTTGATCCCGGCCCCCGAGAGCTGCAAATTTGGCGATGGCAGTAAATGTTTGTACTCACGACTTTGATCACCTAAGTATGATCGAAAATTTGAAAAAACGATTTCCATCGAATGAATCGCTGTTATTTTCACTGGGATTGTCAACCTTATTAGAGTTATCCTTTGGTTTTCCTGACCCCTTCAGAGACAATCCAGATGTGGATATTCTTGGTTCGAATCTGTACAACAACTTTATTCGTCGTTATCGTCACGTATCTGGTGGCAGTGGAGATTATGTCCAAGAGCAACGTGTCTCTGTAGCGGATTCTCGCATGTTCCCCTCATCGGCTGAACTACTTCCACAGACCGCACGCAGCATTGATGGTAAGCGTTAGTAAACTCGTAATGTTCGGTTCTCGGAAAAGTATTCAGTCATCGTCTGATATGCTGCGCGTAAAGTTCAAACACAGTTACATCGTCACCGTTTCAGCTGATCAATGGAATATGGTTTCGAAAGGAAGAACGCTGACGGAACATGCTATCCACTGTTTGATGTTATAGTCATCCGATATCTATCATGAATGATGAAAAGAAGCGTACAAATGACCGAGTCAAGTCACAACAGGTTTGATGTATCAATTAACGGTAACCCATTGAGCAGTAGAATTATAAACAATGTGTGCAATATTGTCATAGATGAAACTGACAAGAACTTGCCAGATTCAAAATGATTTAGATTATTGGTTGACCTCACGTTCAACAAGCTGCAGCTGAAAGCTGAAAGCAAAGAACAATCAAAAACGGTCCCATTGTATTATTGCTATTGTCGTTATTATCGTGACTGTCCAAATCGGTAGCAAACGAACTATTCAAAATAAATAATAAAACTTGTCTGGTGTTTCATGGTACACTACTGATAACTAAGTTGGGGCAATTAATGGTATCAACACTAGACTAGACCACTCACAGTTTACCTTTCCGTGCCCCCACATTGTGTTAATGGTCTTACAAAACATGAAGGGACATCATAACTTCCCATAGATGGATATAGTATACATATATTCAGCCCATGGCAAATTCGTCGTGCATAAGGACCAATTTCATCATTAGTTCGTAGATTACTTGGTTGTATGTTCACCTCGGCTATACAGTGTCGCCTTTCAGAACCTAATGACTTTGCAGACATTTGACTAGCTTTATATAGATCAGTTTATGACATTCCAAGTTTCACGTAAACTTCAGTAATGATAAATGCAGTATCAGATCATTATTATACGAGAATTTATGCCATTAGACAAATGTGTCAATCACTACTGTGAAGTACAAGGCACTAATCATCGTGATTCGCTCCAGCCCTCTTGTTATCTCAGGCACACACATTCTACCGTTGTATGTTCACACTATGCTCGTTCTCACCTCGGCTGACGTACCGATCACATGTTCTTCCGGGTTTTATGTAGGTTCATAAGTATTTTGCATTCTGCATGGTGCATGTTTCGTGCTTGAGAAAGCTTGAAAAACGATACAATGGAAATGTTTTTCATGTTTTTCACTAGTAGAGTGTTGGATTCTGTTTCATTGGTTCATTTGTACAAGATTAACCCATTCAAATATACTTGAGGAGATAATCGGAACTTAATTTCTAACAGAAAAGATAAAATAATTGGCCAATTTCCCATCATTCTAGTGATTGGATAACCGGGTTACTAAAGCTAATCTGAGATCAGATAATCGAATCACTGTATTGATGGAACTGTTCTTAATATATGCAATATGATAAATAACTAATAAAAAATAGCCAGAAAACACTATGCTGGCCAGCAGGAGAAAGTTCAATTGTTCACCAAATGCAGATTACTTCTCGCTTATGATACATATTTTTCGGTAAGTTATCTTCCTCTCTCTCTCTTGTTTCTTTTTATAGCTGTCTTGGTACACACTGGCGTTTACAAGCCGGATGAAAAGATCCGACAACGACCTAGCTACTGTCACCGAGATTTTCAGGGAGCGACCGATTTGGTTTTGCCTACTTTTGAAGTTCAAGACTGTCTGGAAGGAATTCAAATGATTTTGGCTCAACATAATTTCTATCCAAGTGTAAGGAAAACGGAGAAATCTTAGATGTTTTTCAACGGACGAATTGTGTCTCAATTGTGAATCCTAATGGAAACCAGTATTCAAAAACCATTTGAAGCACCGCAAAACATGTGGAAAACTAATAATTACGGTCTCGCCTTTCCTATATATCTCTCTCTCCCATTCCACATCCGTCTCCACACACCACGCACACTATTTTATCCGCGTTTCTTTTAATAATTTTGATTCAACCGTGAAAAATTGTTTTCCTATACCCATTTTAATTCCCGATTTGAAAAGCCGTTGATTACGAACTTCCAATAAAACGATGCATTTTTCATCTACAGTTATTTCACAGAAATTAGTTTTCGGTGGATGGGCAATGGTGGGATGAATAGGAGATGGTCAGTTATAACGTTCAAATGAACAGAAGAAGTAATATTTCGTTGCTAATGTACCACCGCAACCACAAACAAGGCACGGGGTTTTGTTTGAGTGAATCAACCATCTCGCTCATGCGAAACACATGACTTGCGCACGTGAATACACCGATTCCGATGAGCTCGATATAATCATGCATTTGTAAACCGGATGACTTGTACCCCATTGATCCATATACAATTCGGGTTGTGAATCACTAATGTGACCAAGAGCAGAGAAAGATATCTGATAAAATGACTGGCATTTGTCCTATTCTTAAAAAATTAAGGCGTCGGCTCCGCAATAGAAGGCCTATCCCTCTCCCGGGGTGCGGAAGCTGACGGGATTTACTGATATCTGTCCTGTTCAAAAACATGTCTGTAAGTGTGACTTGAACGAATTGTTTTTTGCTAAGCTTTCTGTTGATAAAGCCCATTTCAAAGATGTGATCCTCAAACAATCGGCTAATTTTATTTGTTATACATTATACGGAAAATACCACCTGCAAAATGAGAGGACTCATGACGATTTACAAAAGAAAATTTTGAAAAGTGATCGGTACCNGTACCACAATAACTCATCAAATCTTCCCTTCGTAGAAATGAAAAAGCAACCGGTCACGTGAAGGAATTTCGTTTCGCCATGTCGCTTTTGCATACGTAGTTTGGCAATTGCATAGATCGCCATTGGCTTTGCACATAGAAAGTAAGAGTGAGCATGTTAGTCGATATCTTGACAATGAACTAGAATACTATGACGAATAAATTAGTAAACTATAGACATAAAGTTTTGATGCAGAGAAATGAAGAATATGTTTTATTTAATTGTTTGGTCATGCGGAATCAAACCTTCGTATAGCCCGGAAAATGCCGGGATCGGTTCAGCTTCAGTTCCATCCTGCGTAGGAACCGCCATAAGTCCAATAACTGCAAATAGTAGCGTAATGTAGCGAGAATCATTTTCGGTTCCCACAGTAAAGCTGTTCTGGCCTGGTTCTTCCATGTTCAGATAAATGTCCATCGTACATTACAACCACACTGACAAAGGTTTCTCGTAAGTTGTCCACCTGAAACTACAAACGAGTTGTGAGTTATCTTCTTCGGTGTGTGGTCCTTCTAACTACGGACGCAAAAAGCCTACTGAGCACAATTAATTTTGCTCATGGTGAAAAATCACACAATTTGGATGCGTGGGAAAAGAGAACGAACGTGGATTTCTTTTTGAGTGGCAGACTACAGATGGTTTGGTGTAGCACCCCAGTTTAAACTGCATATATCAATTCATTCGTTTCACGTTTTGCACCACCGGAAACGAAAACAATCCAACTTGTTATCAAATAGTGTGTTTAGCGAACAAATACGAGTACTGCAACCTATTCTCCCTCTATGTAACTGTCTACGGAAGTGTTTATCAGTAGGCTTACGGATGGTTTGCCATGAGAACAGCAGAAAAAAGTCGGAAAGTATCAGTACATATATTTTCCATTTAAGGACGATAGACCAGCAGTAATCACACAAGGAAGGTGATTGAACGCTGCTTGAAGGACCTTTCATGTAATGAGGTTGTCGGTTTTATCCACATTTGGGTTGATTGTAGATTTGTGGTCTAAGTACCTAATGAGTTAACTGAAGATATCTCAAGGCGAACAGGGCTGAAGCATTTCCTCACCGGGATAGTGTTCGTGAGCAATAAAATCAGGATAGATTTGATCGGATATCAGCGAAAAGTGGTGCAAATTCGTTGCCACAACCCTCTGTTTGCTTTCAGCAAGAATTTGGTCAAAATCTTCCGGGTTCCCCACCCAACCCCATGCAAAACAGAAGTCACCAGCAGTAATCTCTTTCTGTCTGCTCAGTGATGTACAGGGAAACGTATCCCCGAAAACGAAATGGTTCCGTTGCTGATGTGCTTTTTGGGAACTGTGTGAAAAACAGTGTGTCAATCATAAACAAACCAATTAACATCGAGAATTCACACGTGGAATAGGTCCTAACTCATATTTTCTGTCCATACCAGAGGTGTTGGTGCATAAGTTTCCCTGGGTGGTAGGTCAAAGATGTGATGTAGCACTTTTGTATCAGCGGATTGAAATGGGAACAATGACTGTTTCACTCGCCTCAATCAGTTTTGTTCAACAGTGACGAGTATCAAGTTCGATGAGGACCTCAGACCAAATACCGCCGTTGTTCGGATATCACGCATCAGAAGAATGTGAAATATTAAGCATTATACGTTTATCAACCCAAACACTGTATCGGCACTTTGAAAATATTTTAAATTACCTTGTGTTACCCGAGAACATACGTTCGGTGGTAACCGACCGTTTTTCATGATTAATTCCCTAGACCTGCTGGAATACATAAGGCTTTGATGTGCTTATTGGTTAATATTTATTGAATTTTAAAAACATAAACGGTGAACTGAGCCGCGGCGGAGAGGTGCAGGTTAATAATTGAACAAAAGGTGGACTGCACAGTGAACCGTTGAATAGCAGAATAAACCTTTTCTGTTTGTGAAAAAATGCTAATGGAATCTTGAACAACAACAACTACTTGCACAAAGAACATAGTAAATCCTTGACAAAATTTCGTACCTACGTAGATTATAATTTACTTCCATTACGAAAAGCGGGGTCTTCAAATTTCGGCCACCTTCGGCTGCGATTCCTTGACTTGACTTGTACCACCACATAAAATATACCTTCGCTCCTCATCCCACCCGTTTTCAGTGAACCGGACATCAATTATTGTAGGTCCAATGGAACACCTCTTAAGTCAGTCATTTTTTAATTATCACTGTCGTCTTCTTGCCCACAGTGTGCTGTCATTTTGTTAACCTCCTCCACACTCCATTGGTTTTTTATTCTGTTTTCCATGTATTATTGTGAAAATAACAGAAACTTCACCCTTCGGGTGCATGAAGCTTAATCTGAATTGACTTGATTTGTGCACTTGTTGTTCACTGAGTTAAAGGTCAGAGTTGGTTGGTAAAGCCTGAGCATGTTTAGAACTAGCAAAAACGTTACCAAAGTATTGATTTATATGCCTCATCTGAATGATATCAATTATACCACCATTATAAGCTGTCGACAAAGCGCTCAACGATAACGCATTATAATGCGCAATGATAAGCTTTTAGAAACACAATGGTTTATTTCATTTAGTGTGGATAATTTTTAAAAACATCTTTGGCAAAATTAGGATTTTGAAATACCCCATTCTCTAGTATTTGTAAACTATTCTGAGCTTTCTCAAACATCGGCAGACAATCGGTATTCTAGTGGCACAGATTTGAAAATAGCACACCTAAATGAACAAGGATTTTGAAACACAGTTAATAATCCATAGGTGTTCCAGATCATTTCGAAAAATTTGGGCGTTGTGCTCATGGTAACAACAGAATCAGGTTTTTTTTAGCCACAAAGTGGAAGCTTGTATTTTTGAGAAACCGATTAAACTGACTTGACAAAGGCCTTCCAAGAAGGTCGAAACATTGTCACCGAAATCTTGGGTTTTGGTATTCACGTTGTGGCTAAAACAAACCTGATTCTAAGGATTTTGAAATATCTAAAAGGACTAACCCTAGAAGGAAACGAGAGGCGAAATGATCATTGGTTGCGTTTGTGCGTAATGCATTATCTGATCTGAAAGTGACAACTTTCCCGTACATATCTTTTGTAACTAAATATATCCGACAGTTTTATTTGTCAAAACAATTTAAACCTGTTGAATTGCAGTCACAAGGAGAGTAACTATAGTTTTTCTCCTTGCTCCCCTGTGGTCCTGTGTCTTGGGATCACCCTCTGTACACAGTTTTTTGGGTTTCCATGGTGCAACTCCGTATGTGTGTGTGTATGTGCGTACTGCGTAGCATTGACGGACTATCAGGCCAAAGTTTGCTCCAGCGATCTGCATGCAGAACTGGTTGTCACATGTAGCACCGTGAAATAAACGAGAATATCATGATAAAGACGGGTGATGTTTATCATTTGAAATGCGTCGCATTATTTTTCGTCAGATACATTTTCTTGTTTGTCTGAATCCCGTTTCGGAGATTTGTGTGGGTGAATTCACTGCGTGTGATTCACTTTTGAAACAAATCATCTCAACTGAAGTGAGCCACAATTATCTAAACGAAAAAAACAAATCCATTCCCGTTTCCGACCAACACTTTCCAGTAATTGTGCTTTCGGTTGAGAACTAGGTCTACAACTGTTAATTTAGACTTGGAAGGATATTGATCCGAAAACTTCCCCCTAGAATATTTGTCCTATAAATCATCGAAAGAACAGTGAAATAATATTTTGTTTATCCACAACAGTTTCGTTGGCGACTTTTGCATATTTTGTTCGAAGGCCTTTCTCGTAAACAAACTACTACTGGATTATCAAATGAGAAGGGATTTTATAGGAATGAAAGCTAGCAATTCGTATTTGAAGTTTTGGTGCTACAAACCTCAAGTAGTTAGAACCTGTAGACATCATGAATCTGTTGGTTCGTGTTTTCCTTGGTTGTATTTTTGTTGCAGAACTCAGTGTGACATACTTGAGAGGAAGCGAAACTTAAACTCATGCAAACTAGTTGTTTCCTAGTGGTAACTGTTAATTCTAATCCAGTGATCTGACT